ATATCTGATAAAGGGCTGATAATAAGAATCTATCTAGAACTCAAAAAAATCAACAAGAAAAAATCAACCCCATCAATAAATGGGTGAAGGATATGAACAGAAACTTTTCAAAAGAAGACAGAATAATGGCCAGCAAACATATAAAAAAAAAAAATGCTCAACATCTCTAATCATTAGGGAAATGCAAATCAAAACCACAATGAGATATCACCTAACTCCAGTAAGATTGGCCTGTATCAAAAAATCCCGAAGCAGCAAATGCTGGTGAGCATGTGGAGAGATAGGAATACTCTTACACTGCTGGTGGGACTGCAAATTAGTGCAACCTCTAAGAATTTGGAGATACTTCCAAGACCTAACGAGTAGAACTACCATTTGATCCAGCAATACCACTATTAGGCATCTATCCAGAGGAACAAAAGTCATTCTGTAATAAAGACATCTGCACTGAAATGTTGATGGCAGCACAATTCACAATTGCAAAGATGTGGAAACAACCCCAGTGCCCATCAATCCATTAGTGGATTAATAAAATATGGTATATATATATACAGTGGAATACTACTCAATTATAAGAAATGATGGTGATCTAGCACCTCTTATATTCTCCTGGATAGAGCTTGAGCCTATCCTCCAAAGTGAGGTACCACAAGAATGGAAGAATAGGCACTACATGTACTCGCCATCAAACTGGCACTGACTGATCAACACTAAGGTGCTCACACAGTAGTAATATGCTTTGGCAGTAGAGGGGTTGGGGGTGGGTAAGCTCACAACTGGACACGGTGAGCATTGTAGTGGGTCTCAAATCATGGTTGGGATGTGGCAAAGTCGTAACATGTAACCAAAATGTTTGTACCCCCATAATTTCCTGAAATAAAAAAAAGTGTGGTACTGGCATGAGGACAGACATAGAGATTAATGGAATATAATTGAGAGTACAGAAGTAAACACTGGCATTCTTAGATCTGATACCAAAAGCACAATCCATAAGAGGAAAAAAATAGGCTATTAAAATCGAAACTTTTGCTTTTCAAAAGTCATTATTAAGAAAGTAAAAAGACAGGCTACAACTGGAGGAAAATATTTCCAAATCTTACATATAAGGGATTTGTATCTAGAATATGCAAAGAACTCTTGCAGCTCAATAATAAAAAGACAAATGACCCAATTTTTTAAATAGCCCGAGGATGTGAATAGAGATTTCTCGAAAGAAAATATACAAATGGCCAATAAATAGGTGAAAAGATACTCAACAACATTAATCATTAGAGAAATGCAAATCAAACCCACAATGATATATCACTTCATATAGGAGATGGCTATAATCAAAAAGATTAACAATAACATGTTAGTAAGGATGTGGTGAAATTGGAATCCTTGTGTGTTGCTGGTGGGAATGTAAATGGTACATCTGCTTTGGAAAACAGTGTGACAGTTCCTCAAAAAATTGAACATATAATTACCATCTTGAAAACATGTCCACACAAAAACTTCTACATGAATATTAAGAGCAGCAGTGTTTATAATACACAAAAAATGCAAACAATCAAAATGTTTGTCATCTGATGAATGGATAAAATGTAGTATACATCCATACAATGGAATATTATTTGGCAATAAAAAGACTTAAGTACTAATGTATTCTGCAATATGGATGAACCTTGAAAATATGCTGAGTCAAAGAAGCTGGTCACAAAAGACCAAATATTGTATAATTTCATTTATACGAAATATGATATATTGATAGAATGGAATATTATAATTGAAAGGAGCCAGACACATAAACACCCTATATTGTATGGTTTCACTTAAGTGTAAAGTCCATAATAGGCAAATTCAAGAAAGAGCAGTGGTTTTCAAGTGCTAGGAGAGGAGAAAATCAGGAGTGACTGCTAATAAAGAGTTCTTTTTTGGGATGATGGTTGTACAACTTGGTGAATATACCAAAAACTGACGTGTACACTGTAAAAGGATATATTTTATGATGTGTGAATTATATCTTAACAAAGCTGTTACAAAGAAAAACAATGGAGGCCAGAAGGCAGTGGATGACAGGTCCAAAGTGCTAAAAGAGCAATCCCGGCAACCTAGAATTCTATATCCAGCAAAATACTCTTTCAGAAATAAAAGCAAAATAAAAATATTCCCAGGTTAATAAAACTTAAGAAAAATTTATTGTTGTATTGTTAGTAGTACTTCCCTAAAATGAATGTCAAAGTCCTTGAGACTTGGAATAAATTATACCAGAAGATAACAGACCCACAGGAAGGAATAATAAATACTGAAAATGTTAATTATGTGGATAAACATGATACCTGTGAATATATGGATAAGCACGTGCATGTTTATATATTTTATCTTTTAAAAAGTTGGTTAAAACAGTTTAACACTCTGAGTTTATAACATACATAGATGCAATATATATGACAAAGGGACTGGGTAAGAAATGGATCTATATCAGAACAAAATTGCTCTATTTTACCAGAATTAAGTCAATGTGAATCTGAAGTTGAATATGTATGGTAAAGAGATATATTGTAATTCCTAATGTAACCATGAAGAAAATAAATGAAAAACTATGGATAAAATATCAACAGAGGAATTAAAATGGTATAATAAAGCATTTTTTAAACTAGAAAGAAATAAAGAAGTAGAGAAATAAAATATGGAAAATAGTAAAATGACAGAGATAAAACCACCATATCGATGATTACATTAAATTTGAGTAGACAAACTACTCCAGTCAAAACGCACATTGTCAGGTTGGGTAAAAAAGCATGATCTAACTGTATGCTATCTATAAGAGGCACATTTTAATTTGAAGACAAAAGTAGATTGAAAATAAAGGGTGAAAAAAACATCATTCAAATAGTAACAATGAGAAAGTTGTTTGATATTAATATCAAATAAATATACTTTGAGCAATGTTACTAGAGACAAAACACTGTACAAGTAAGGAATGGAAGTGAACTTCCTCAACTTCATAAAGGGTGTCAATGAAAAACCTACCACTGACGTTATACTCAATGGCGAAAGACTGAATACTCCGTCCCTCACCCCAGATTGGGGAAGAAGGCAAGAATGCTCTCACCATTTGTATTCAACACTAGCCAGTGCGGCAAGACAAGAAAAGGAAGTAAAGGTACTCATACCAGAAAGAAAGAAGGAAAATTCTCTTTATTCCTAAATGATACAATGTTGTAGGGAAAGTGTTCTTTGGGATCTACCAAAAACCAAACTAGATCATATGTGAATTTAGCAAGGTCACGAGATGTAAGAACAATATAGAAAAAGCAATTGGATATCTATGTACTAGGAATGAATGCTCGAAAATTAAATTGAGAAAACCCTTTCATCACACAACAGCACCAAATGTGTTTATCTCACACACACACACACACATGCACAAATTAACAAAAGCACAATATTATGTATTGGAAATGAAACATTGCTGAGAGAAATTGGAGACCCAAATACTATCTTAATAGATTGAAAATCTCAATATTATTAGGATGTCACATCTCTCCAAATTAATCTATAGTTTCAGTGAAAAATTAAAATCCAGCAGGCTTTTGCATAGAAATTGCAAGCTGATTATGAAATTGATACGGAAATTCAAAGGACATAGAAGAGCCAAAACAATTCTGAAAAAGAACGAAGTTGGAAAGCTTAGCCTACTTAATTTAAAAACTTACTGTAAAGCCATAGTAATTAAGATAATATATTGATATGATAATAGACATTATAGATCAATGGAACAGAAATAAACCCACACACATGTGGTCAACTGATTTTGTACAAGGTACCAAAGTAGTTCAATGGGATAGAGAATAATCTTTTCAATAAATGGTGCGACATCCATGGGTAAAACAATTAACTTAGAACTTTATGTCAGTCATACACAAAAATTAAAGCAAAATGGACGTTAGATCTAACCGTGACAGCTAAATCTAAAAGTTTAAAATACTTACATTCTTAGGGAAAGACTGAATAGATACGACACCAAAAGCATAACCCATAAAGGAAAAAAATTGATCATTTGAATCAAAATTAAAAACTTTTCAAAATTCATCATAAATAAAATGAAAATATAAACCATAGCAGTGAGAAAAGACTTATAAATCATGTATTTGACAAAAGACTTGGATCCAGAATATGTTAAGAATTCTTATAACTCAAAAATAGGACAAATAATGCAAATTTTAAAAGTGGCACGTAATATATACGAGTGACTAATAAATACATAAAAGGTGTTCAACCTCATTAGCCATAAAGGAGAAGAAAATCAAACCACTGCACCCCCACTAAAATCCAAAAGACTGACCATACCAGGTGTTGAGGATATGGAAAAACTGGAACCCTCATGCATTACTGACAGGAATCTAAAATGGTACAACCACTTTAAAAAATAGTTTTGTGTTTTCTTAAGGTACCATGTGATCTGGCAATTCCACTGGTATCTGTTTAAGAGAAAAAAAACCTTAATGTCCACATAAAGACTCATGTGCATGTTTATAGCAGCATAATTCATGATAGCCAAAAACTGGAAATAATTCAAATGTTCATCACCTGATGAATGCATAGTATGTGTTATGTCTCTGCAATGGATTATTAATCAGCAATTAAAAATAACAAACTACTGATACATGAAACGACATGGATGAACTGAAAAGCATTATGTTAACTGGAAGGAGCCTGACACAACAAGAATACCTATTGTGTTAGCCAATTTATGTGAAATTTTTAGAAAAAGCAAAATTCTTATGAGACAGAAAGTAAACTCTTGGTTGCCTGGGGATAGGGCAAGGGCCAAGAATACTGACTGCAGGCGGGGCACAGTGGTACTTTTTAGAGGTGATGGATTTGTTTTACATCTGGACCGTGGTGTTATTTGCATACCTGTATAAATGTACTAAAAAACATCAAACTGTACACTTAACAGTGGATGAGTTTTATGGTATGTAAATTATACCTCAGTAAAGCTGGCTTTTTAAAAGTTCACCTGTATGTTCCCTTATAAAAAATGAAAATATATCAAAACAGTAAGGGTGATTATCTGTTATTTAGGGCTTACAGGTAATTTTTATTTCTTTCTGTATATTTTCTGTTTTCAAATTTTCTGTAATGAGTTTTATTACTCTTAATTAAAAATGTTAAAAAGAAAAAAAGAAAAATTGCTTTTTTAGGAGTGTTGGGAAGGAAATTTTTAGCTTCAAAAATAATTTTGAAAAAATTAGAATTCAAAAAGATTTTCATGAATTTTTTATTCAATTAAATTATTTTTGTTTAATTCAAACTAAAACAATATTAGGGCTGTTTACTTTTCACAAATCAAATTCTGCTTATTTCTATAATTAATTTTTTTCCCTCTCTAGTGTATGTCTGGCTCCTATCAAGAAGCTAAAACTTTGTTGAAATCCTACTTAAAGCAGCACGGCTATGGATCCTGGATTGTGAAATCTCCCTCTATAGAGCAATTTTGTATGTGAATTAGGCAATCCATTGTCATATTAAAAACCTTTTATTTTTTGGTGTGTTTTGACTAGTAAAAATGTTTTTAAAATATTGATGGTTTTCAACTTCAAAATCAGAATCTTGAAACAGGGTTCAGGGATTGCTGACAATTTGTAAATATTCCTGTCAATTTACATTGAAACATTAGGGTTTTTTACCATTACCCTTTATATAGTTTAAAAGATTACATTTTAAGTTTTTGCTTTAAAGCTATCCATACAGCTACAATATTCAACATTGTGTCCTGGTATCTCACTCAATTTTTTTATTAATAATTGTAAGCCAAGAATAAAAACAATAATTCTTATTCATTGACTAATTCAACAGGCGTTTGACTACCTAATATTTGCCAGTCACCATTCTAGGTGATAGTAAAAAAACAGTAATTAAAACATCATCTCTCATGTCAAAGGAGTTCATGAATGCAAACCGCACATATTAGTGCAGAAAAATATTAACCATGTTAAGGAATAGTCTGCATTAATGTGTGATTGTTCTGATTAATGGAGGATTATCATATATGCTTTAAATAAGTTTGCCTGTTTTCAACCGGCAAACTTATTTAGAGCATCTACCTGTACCAAATGTGATTTAATAGCTTATAATTTAGAGTAGTAGGGATTTCTAATTTATAGGTCAATAAAAGACTCTTTAGCTTTATGTCTATATTTGTTTATACAGTGATTAAATGACAAGGGAAGTTTAGATACTCTTGAGTTAGGATATATAAATGTAGTGAAATTGTGAGTTTGTCCCGTATTTTAGCTTTTTCAACCTGTTCCTTGGTTTTCAATCACAGATGTTGTGTTAAATATTAGTTCTCAGAGTTTGTCCCTCTTAGCTTGGATCTTTACTAAATTTGTGAGAGGAACTATTATAATCTCTGATGAGATTGATGTAAGGTGTTTTTTTGTGTGTCTATTCTGAAAGTATGGTAAAATTAAGTTGAACAGTGAAGTCATTCTGGAAAGTCATACTTACATATCTTTTGGTAGTCTAAACTTCCCTTATTAGATTGAATCATGTGAAGTTGCCATTTTTTGTAGATTAAAAAAGATTCAAATATGGGCAGTTTCATATGGATCAACATAAATACAAGTAAGTTTCATTTTAATCAAGTACATAATATGTATTATTTCTGCAACTTGTATTTTCTTGTTAAATATTTGTTAATCTTTTACAAGGCTGTTTCCTCTGATGGCAAATTTCTAGCCTTTATTTCTATTATTTTACTTCTCCCTGATAGTAAATTTGCCTTTGAAGATACAAGATCTTCCACCCTCTCTTGGCTTTTTCACATTCATGGGTATTAGCTGACCTTAAAAATATGGTAAAGTACCAAATGCTTTTTATTTGCTTCTGAAAGTGCTGCCTAATTAATAGAAGGCCTTGAGTTAGACATTGTCATGAGAATCAGTAAAAGACTATTTCTTTCCTCAAGAAATTTATAGGGAAGATCTTAAAGGGAAGATCAAACAAATATACCCAACTGTTTTACAGACAGAATCTAGTAAGTATCACATTTATTCAACATGTGGTCACTGAATGTCTCTGTGTACTGTGTGCACTCAATTATATGTGGTAGTTTGGTTTAGAGAAAGAAAAGATTAGATAGGGTATCAAGAGAGACTTTATAAAAGATAAAAGAGATGGCATTTAGTAGAAGGCAATCATTCAGTAGAAGGGTCAGGAAATGGAAGCCTAACATTGGTCTTTATAATTGTGACTGTTTAAATTATTTAATCTCTGTTAGCTCAGTTTTATTTTTGCAAGGATGACGTTAATACAAAGGTTTTCATTCTTTGTTCAGGGATGAAGGCTTGATGGAAAGGGCTCCTGGATGCCCTTCACTAAAAGCAGCTGTACTTTTTATCTCTTATGTATTGTTCTACAAGACAGTTTGAAGAAAAGCAAACTCAGACTTCTAAACTTCTAAAATTGTTCAAAAACCACTAAATTAGTTGTATCTATGTTTAAGTCCTCTTTTAGCTCTAAGGTTCTGTTATCTGAGGCAAGCATTGAAGGATGGGTAAAATTTGGTAGGTTGAAGTAGAGAATGTGTTCCAGTTGAAAATAATAAAGATTAGAAAATATTAATAGTATTTGAGGTGTAAGTATAGGACAGTGGATGGAAAAACTGAAAGTTCAGTCTAGCACATGTTTTCAATTTGGTAGACAGACAGAAGCCCTTGAAGGATTTTGTAGGGAATTGACATACATTAAAATACCATTCTGGAAGACCTTCTTTGTTTACTTATTACTATGGAAATCTTGAACATACAAATGTAGAGAGAATAATAAATGTAACCAGGTATCCACCTAACTTTAGTAACTATTAAAATGTGAGTAATCTTATTTCATGTATACCTCCCCAAGCTGATATTTGCTTTATGTTAAATGTTAAATTATGTTAAAGCAAATATCAGACATGTTATTTCATTTAAAAATACTTTGGTTTATGTATCTGTAAAAGATAAGGACTCTTTAATACACATACACACATACATATATGTGACCTGTTCCATTTCCCACCTGGGCGGGTTCATCCCTCCTTTGGCAACCTGATGGTCCCCGCTCTGGGAGGTCACTATATTAATGCTGAACATAGTGTGGACACCCATTCAGCATAGTGTACCGTGGAAGGTGAAGTAACTCCACCTTGTATGCTACTCTGCCATGTTAATTTCTGATTAACCTCTGTTCTGGAAATGCCATTAAGATTGCTACTTTACTATTACTATAAATCCTGCCCTTGGATCAAAACAACCTTGACCATAAATCCTGCCTTTAGATACATTTGCCTATCCCTGAGGAGGTCAACTTCAATTGTTCTACCATTCCTTCCCTGTAATATATAAGTTCTGGGTCTCAGGGATAATGGCACAGGGATCTGCTATCTCCTCCTGTCATGCCTGAGACTTGGCTTCTGTTCCTAAGGCCCTATAATGTATCTTTCTGAGAAATTGGATTTGTCAGCCTCTTCCTTCAGCTTCTCAGCTTCCTTGGGAAACCTACCCCTTATGGGGTTTGCAGAGACCCGCTTGTCATGAAACAGCACTAAGGCCCAGAACTCCTAGGCCCAAATAGTCCTCTTGCCTCAGCCTCCCAAGTAGCTGGGACCACAGGTGTGCCCCACCGTGCCCAGCCACGTATTTGTGTATAATCACAATTCAGTTCACTTTAAAGACTAATAATAACTTCTCTATTTCATAAGTGTTACGTATAGATTGTTGGAATCAGAATCAAAATTACATCTATATATTGGAATTTGTTAAGTGTCTGTTAATCTATAGATGTCCTCTTTTTTTCTTTTGATTTACTTACACAAAAAAGTCTTTTTTAAAAAGTTTCCCAGAATTTCAATTTTTGTCACCATGGTGTCATTTAATAGGTTCCTGTGTTCTCTGTATTTCCTGAAACCAGTAGTTAAATAAATCTAAAGGCTTTCAAATTCAGGTTCAGTTTTTATGCAAGAATACTTCATAGGCAGTATTGTATTCTTTCATCAAAAGACACAATGTCTGGGTTGTCTTTTTGTGATGTTAGTTGCCATTGATGATCTTTGCCTACATTCATTATTTTATTAGGAGTTGGAAGAAATACTTAAATTCTCTCTTTAGCTGGAATGTTTCTATGAAGAAATATCTCCTCATAAATTATTTAATTACCTGGAGTATAATTGATACAGAAAAGGCTGGAGTGTTTTTCTTTCTTCACATTTTGAAATAATTTAGTTGGTTCTTTGTCATCCTTTAAAGTTGACTTTTCCCCCTAGTGTCATGAATTCATGGATTTGAACATATTTCAATCTGTTACAATCAGTATTCATATTGATGTCCAAATTATTCTACCTTTGGTTACTAGGAGCCTTTTATAAAAATCTTTCAGCATTTTTCTCATAATTGATGTTTCTTATGCTATTTTAAGTAATATTATTTTTATATATTTTATTTTCTATTTATTTGTTGCTGACTTTTTTTTATGTTGGTCCTCTAGCCAGTGACCTTGCTAAATCAATTTGAATAGTTTCTCTGTAGAGCCTTTTAGATATTCTTCATACATAGTTATATGTGAATGACAGATTTGTTCTGTCCCAATCTTTATCTTCTAATTTTTTTTTCTTTCTTTTTTGTACTGGCTATGACTTCCCAGTACAATGTGAATAGAAGTAGTAAGTGGTGTCTTTGCCGTATGTGGAACCCTTCTCATGTTTTTGTCTAGGTCTTTTGAACATGATCTGAAATAGTCTTAGCTTCTTTACTTTCTGTTATGATAGAATGTTTCTGCCTCATCTTAAGCATTTTTTAACCCCAGACTTGGAATCAGCTATTTGTCTAAAGAGCTGCTTTTTCATGGAAAACGGTGTTTAGAAACCATAATTTGGAAGCTAAGAGTACCTATCAATACTGTGTTTGTTCTTTTTTCCTAAGGTCTTTCTTTCCAGAGAATAGAGCTTAGAAATACGCATATTAAGATAAATTAGTATATTTTGTTCATAGTGATGCTTTTATTTCAAATTCAGGTCAACAGGGTTTTTAGTTAACCTTTTCAATCTTAGATCTATGTCTCCTATCCCCTCACCAAAATCCCAAATTCCTATTGATATGAATGTAATTTCTCATTTACTTTTTTCCATAGCATATACAGCATTCTCAGAATAACGATACCTTCAGTACCATCAGTAATATGATTACTAAAATCAATTGAAATTTGTTTTTGTCTTTGGGATATTTTCTACCAGATATATACAATCAAATTAATGTGTTTTTCTGTGTGGTTACGCCTGCAACTCAAGACACAGTTCAGATTGTTTATATAATTTGATTTTCAGTAGTTAAAATTTTGAGGTTTTAAAATTGCTACATAAAAATATGACAGAGCTCTAATACTTGGTATATGCAGAAAAGTCTAACCTTTATCACTATTTCTTCAATCTAAGAGTGTGTGCATGCTTTTACTCTCTTCTCTCTCTATA